TCTTCATTTACTTTTTGCTCACTTGGTTCCTTAACCCTGATTCGTTAACCTAGGGTTCGTACAGACTCCGGACAAAAATAAATGCTTCAAAGATATGTCTTGCTTTTCTCTCAGACAAACAATATGTAGACGAAATCAGTTCATATTGATAATACACACCGTTGTTCTTCAGTGTAATATAAATTGAAGCGAAAAAAATTTAATCATTATATTCAGAGAATAATCGAGAGAGACTGATAGAATCTGAGCATTTTATAGGTTGACGAATCAGGGTTAAATAAGCAGGCTATTTTTAATCCGTTTCGATATTTTTCAAAATTTTTATCTAAGTGTATATTGGTCTGCAAAGAAAACGACAAAAAAGTCACACAGATAAAAGGCAATTTATTATTTTATCTAACTAACATTGAACAATTGTTGCATATTAATCAAACTTTAATAATGGTCGGCCTTCATGCAAAAAATAAACATCTTCTTGATACAAAGTATGTTTGTCCTGTGTGTTCATTGATACTACGGGATCCAGTACAATTGGGTAAATGTGGTCATCGTCAATGTCAATCATGTTTTGATGCTCAACATGAGTAACTTTTATTGTGAATTTCTAGTATTATTCTTCATTGTTGTTTTTAAAGAATCTCAATAGAATGCCGACAATGTCAATTGGAAACATCTCTAATTGAGATAAGATTTCTCTTCATAATTACAGAGAAAATATATTTGATTTATGTAGGTTCTGCTTGATCGAGGCTTCAAAAATGATATGAAATCAATACCAATTGATTGTTCTTTTTGCCAATGGACTGGGATATTAAGTAATTATCAAGTAATTTATGTTATATTAGATTTATTTATGAATATTCGATTCTTTTCTTTCGAAGGAACATCTCGATGAATCTCATTCAAATCCAAAATGCGAATATTGTGGCGAAGAGTTTAACTCAATTAACAAATTCAATGAACATCAAGTCTTCGCATGTCAAAAACTGATTGTTGATTGTATATTGAAAGACTTTGGCTGTAATGCAAAAGTATCGATATTTTATAGGCGGAATCGAAGTCTGAAGATTGTTGTTCTCTAGATTATCCGTGCCAAAACGGAAGAACATTATTTAACTGAACAACATCAACATGCTATAATGAAAGTTATTCATCAAATTTTATTGCAATTAAACGATAATCAAACATATAATGGTCTTTCTCGAATAGCAACTGCAGGAGATTGTAATCCTGCTACAGCTCAACTGCAAGAGCTTTATGAAATGCTCCATATCTTATCAGGTGGCATCGAAACATTGAATGATGATCAACAACGTCTAAGCAATGAATCACTTCGAATTCAGGCAGCACTTCCAACATTGACAGAGATATTATCGAAAGTTAAACTATCCATTGAAGAATCGAATGCTTGTCTAGAAGGAATGAAACACAATCAAGACATCCTGAATCAAGATTTGACATCATTGCAAGAAAAAATCAATGATTTACAATATATTTCATATGATGGAACATTGGTATGGAAAATTACAAATGTTAAAGAGAAAATAAGTAAGTTTAACAACTAATCTTATTGTGAATTGTAAGAGTAGAATGTTTTCTCAAAAAAATAATCAAAGAATAAGCTTTTATTCAGTTTCTGTAACATCAACAAAGAAAATTCTAACGTTATAAAATGAAAATGAAAATCCAAATAGCAGATGAAGAAATATTAAAAGCAGAGTTTTCATGAAATCTATTTTTTTA